GAACTGGGGAATTCCAAATCTGCGCGAACTCTGCCTTTAAGCAACTTTGTTTTCGTTTATTCAACGAACAAACAACTAAAATGATTTTACATTTTTGAAAACCTTACTCATCCATTGAACAGATGAGAATAAGCATATTAGAGGAAAAGAGTGAAAGTTACTGCCAAATTATTGATAAACTTTATTACCTTAGAAGTACCATTAGAGGCAGATGCACTTTCAGCAGTAGGAGGATGCACAGCATTCTTGTCAGTCATGCCTTTTGGATGATTAGCATTCAGATGAGTCTCCAACGTCGTATAACTGCTGCATTTGAACGAGCACACATCACACGAATACCTGTAAAAAAATATTCAACACAATGACTAAAGGGACCACTACAGAATCTCACGTACATGATTTCCGCGGAGCATAGCTTGATGTGATGATCAGCGACCAAGTGTTGCAGCATGTTGAATGCGTATTGCTTGGCGCAAAGCTTGCATCTGCCGCCATCCAGCTTGTTCTGAGCTTTTGCCAGCAAATCCGCTGTAACGAGGCCGTGAGCCATAACCTGCAAATTAAATTAATCAATACAAAATAAGCACATTCCGCTTGGTCAATTGGCTTACCAGATGGCGTTCTAAACCTTCATAAGTCCAGAATCTTTCGCGGCACCTGCTGCATGCAAGTGGGGCTCCAAGTTTAACATCATCAAGGGTCTTGTCTCGAAGGTGCTTATGAATCAACTAAAAATCAATAAATCAATATAACTATTTAGTGGGAATGAATCCTACCTGCAAATGCTGGAAATATCGTTCCCTATCAGCCATATTCTGGTCACAAATCTCACATATTCCTGGTCCATTGCCAGCATTTGTATTATTGCCAAGAGCATGGGATGGTGCTGGACTGGGTGAGCCTGATGAAGCAGCTGTCGAAAGACCGCCGTTGGCCATGGCAAAAGCTTTCTGCATGGCGGCGTTCATCTGAAAGATCTGTCAACGCAAAAAACTTGTGATCTACTGATGCCTGCGATATATTTTCAGAAACATTCAAAACTATCAACGATATTGAGAGACACGTACCGTTGGTGCTTTCCGTAAGGCAGATGCATTTGCAAGCAGTGCGTTGCGACTGGCAGCAAGATTCTTCTGATATAAAGCTGTAGCAGCGGCTATGGAGCCAACCGTTGCGGCTGCAGTTGATCCACGCTGTTGACTGGCTCGTTGTATATGTTGCTGCATAGCTGGAAATGGAGAATTTTCAGGAATATGTCGATTGCGGTGAAGAAGTAATTGTAAGAAATGTTTCTTATACTGTTAAAGGCAGTGTCCGCATAAGAAACCAATTTCGAGACTTTGGGCTTACCCGGGCATATTTGCTACGCCAAATCCGAAAATCC